CAGTTGCATGTGTGTACCAGGGTGTTTGTAATAGTGTCCCTGAAGGTGCGGGGGGAGATAAAGGTTTTCATTTTCAACGTTTTTTGAATGACATTCCAGCTATCTGCTGCTGCAAATTGAAAGGCGGAGCGGCCAAAGGATGTGTGGGCTTTGGGGATCTTTAGCAGGATGCTTGTAGCTGACCGGGTGTTGTGCGTTGGGGGTGGTCGGAGTTGCAGTAATTGTGTGAGGTAGAAGGGGGTGAGGCCTAGGAGTGTTTTGTAAACAAACATCAGCCAGTCTCAAGAGAGGGCCAGTTAGCCAGAGACTACAGGTCACAGTGGTGTGTCCTGTAGGGGGCATTGGTGGCGAAGCGGATGGCGGAGTGATATGTGTGTGTTTGACTGCTCCTTTATTCTAGCATAGCAGGTCAAGTGCTACCAGTTTGATTGCAAACTATTAGATTGACAACTTAATTTGATAGTTCTTATAGGAATGGGAACATGATTTTGAATGACTTATTGTAATTATAACATTATGTGAACCTCTTGGCTAAACAATGGATCTTATTTTTCTTCCTAAGATTTAAAAAAAGGTGATATTTTGATATATATTATAGAAAAGTTTGGGCACAGTTTGACCCTTGTATCATGCAAATGCTGATTGAATACTAAAAGACTGGATTCTGAAATTCATCATTAGGGAAAAGTATTTTCTCCTTGATACAGTCCCAGTTTAAAACGCATTTGAAGCATAACCCAAAGTGTATGCCCGAGTTTGGGTTAAGCAACAGGTATACATAATATACACTGTATATCTTGGAGTTGTACCATGAGATTGCGAACTTCAGACTTTTACTGCTCCAAGCTGATGCCAGATAAACGAGTTGTAACCATTTTATCATCTCATCCTAGGAAGGAAACACAGTTTCCGGCTTTTTAGTTTGGTTGGGGATAGCATTACTGTGTTTTCCTGCTATGGTGTTGGGTTGAGTGTTGGACATTATGAGAACATTGGCAATGGGCATGCATAATTCACATTTGCATTTTTTATTTTTGCATTATTTTGTTGGGATTTTTTGTCTCTTTTAAATTGTTTTGTGTTCTTAAATTATTTGGTCATTTTGTCGTTATTTGTAGCTGCACTGGCTAAATTAAAATAAGTTTAAGACTCGTAGACAAACACTTCAGATATGTACTTATTTTTTAATGGAGAACACAAATCTTAAGGATCCTTCTACACCCAGTTAATTAGGTGGAAGTACACAAAAATACTTAAAATCCACAGCAAATATGATTAAATGGTAAAAGTGACAATAATGCATTTGCAGGTGTGGTTTATAATGATTAATTGGATTATTATTCTAATCTAATGTATTAAGAAAATGCCTTTACAATGAATAAAGGACCGCACTCTTGACACACGTACATAGTGATGTAATAGCATACAAGCAGAAACTGAACCCAGAAGGAAAATGTTTGGGCAGAAATCACACTGAGGTTTGCTCTATAGCAGTGCCCAACATCCTCTGACTCTGTGTGGCCTAGATAACCATCAGCACATCCAATCTCTCCGCACACCTCCGTCTACAACTCCCTGCAGGCAGGTTTAACACCATAGATTTCATTAATGGGAGAAGATAGGCTGGCATTGGCTACGTCATACACACAGAGGACCTAGGTGTGGACATGCTGGCAGAGAAACCAAAATCTGATCACTGCTAAAACAGATTCAACTGCTAAGGGAACAGCTGTTCTGCCACCAAAGTAAAACATGTTATCAAAAGTAAAATACTAAGAAAAAAGCAAGTAAAACACTCGTAAAATGGCATCCTAGTCATCTTCTTCAATCTCTTCGTGATGACTGTGGTTGCCAGGTTGCTGATGATGATGTTGATGATGATGGTCATGATAATGAGGATGGTGATGATGATGCTCAGGATGATGGTGAGGAGGGTGCATAGTATTATTCGGACTATGCTGATGTTTGGACTGGTTCTTGGGACTGGTGTGATCGTGTTGGTGGTGATGATGATGAGGACCATTATGATGATGATGATGAGGAGGATCATCAGTGTCCAGAGGACTTGTGGGTATTGTAGTTGTCTGGCTGACCTTAAACTGCGTTGTCTCATTCCTCATGAGGGTTTTCTTGCCACTGGATAAAGTGTGATTAGCCTAAGGAAGATATGGCATGTTAAAACTGCAGTAATAGCATTTGTTGGCCACTTGGAGGCAGCAGAACAAACAAAACATTTTCAAGAATTCCTTTTTACACACCCAGCAAACATGGTGGTGCATTAACACTCATGTTGTGTTTCCCACCAATAGGCACTTTCACACCGCAGCACTTTTCCCACAAAGGTTCATCAGAACTCTTTAGTTCTGATGAACTAAGTACAGATCGCGTTCACACCATCCATGGTTCACACCGGAATAAGTCCCTGAGGGAGAATTAGGCAAATGAAGCCGCTGACGTCACTTCTTCTTCTTCTGCTTTGGGTTTACTGGCAGGCCGCAAACAACTTCACGGCGTATACTGCCACCCGAAGTCCCCGGCCGGAAGTCCCCGGAGTTGGGGACTGGCTTCTAAGCCTTCCGAGTAAATCGCCAGAACGCCGACACCTCCTCATCTCTACCACTGCCATGTTTTTTTTTGTGTTGCCATAAATTATTCTCTCTGCGTTTCTGCGCTGGGCTAATGCTAATGCTAATAATGCTGATGCGAAGATAATAAAATGGCAGCTTCACAAAACTTTTGGGGAGTTTTACGGGGCGTGGCTTGCATTCCACCCAGCCAATCAGAAATAGGAACCTTTTTCTCCCACGAAAGTCCCTCTCTAGCAGGGAGGAAAAGGGGGTAAAAAGGCTCTGATTAACTCATTTTAGTTCCGGATTTTTTTTTTGTGAACGCGAAAACGCCTGTGAACTATATCGGAACTAAAGTGGGAAAAGTGTGAAAGCGCCTAATATTACTTTTCTGTTTGCCTACATTTTCATCCAAAACATCCTTGGCACAATATTCTGGGATGCCTTTTTTACTGTGAGGAATCTAGTTTTAAAAGCAAGGAACGAGAAGAAGGGAGTTCTGTTTTTGTGTAGCATCTAGATCCAGTTGAGGAGACTAGAAATGTAACCTGATGTAGTTTGTAGTGTTTGTAGAGTGTGTGTTTGGTTATTACTCACAGTGCAGTTACAGATGTTTTTAAGATAAGTGGCTCTGATTGCAGCCTCTACGTAGACTTTGTGCAGGAAACTGTAAGGCAGCACTATGTGGAAGGTGAGCAGACCACACCTGGAGAAAAAGGGAAAGAGCTAATCAAAATATAATAAGGAACATCAAAATCATGGCACGAGATTCTTAAAAACCCTTCGAACCAAAGGTGCTTAGCCCAGTACAAAATGTTCACACTTATCAAAAAGCTTAAACAAATGTGAAATAAATCAAAGGTTTTAATTTGATACATATTGTCTTGAGGATGCTACCTATCATAGATCAGGAAGTCATCTTTGTCTCCATCCAGGGCCTCCCACACATCATCCTGAAGGGGGCCCTGCTGGTAGACAGGAACTCCAGGGGCCGCTTTTCTCTTCAGCTCCCAGTACATGGCTCTGGACATCGCATCGCGCTCATTCACGATCATAAAAGACATGTCTGTCAGGTTGCTGCGGTTCAGCTTGTCACGCAGGCCTCCAATTCTACAGAGGGACAGTTAGAGAAATTTCACTTCACTGTTGATGAAATTAAAAGGGTCTGTAAGCATCTGCGTGACACTGATAGTCATTTAAAATGAAAACTTAAAATGCCACAATTGACATACTCCGTTCTTGCAATAAATGTAATGCAGCTCAATGTAATTAAGTAAGAGGCATTTAGCAAATATGGTGCATGTGGGTGTAAAACATAATATCAAAGTTAGGAATGCACATGAACGCAGTAATACAACTTAAAAATTGGGGAGGTCTTTAACAATCCAAGTTCTTGCTTTTATTGTCATCCACACTGAAAAAACTGAACCGTTGACTTTAATTAAATGTATTATGTCAACAGAAATCACATAACTGTATTATGTTAGTTGAAAGCCGTAATATTAAGTTTAACTTCATATTACTGCTTTCAACTAACCTAATACAGCTACAAACCAGAACAATCTTTGACATGTTTTTTTATCCTTTATAGTCCCTTCTTTTTGTTGAAAAAACTAACAAGTAAGAGTCAAAATACTATGTATGAAACAAGACTGTATGAGTTTACTTTGTCCCAACATGTTTCATGATTTCTGCAAATGTGTTTAAAAAAAACTCCACATTTTAAATGGCAGTTGTTCTCTTCTTTCTTACTTGGAGGCCTGAGTGAGACAGAACTGTCAGCTAGCCTTCAGTAGTGCCACCACAACCACATTTCCCAGCAGCTCTTGCATGGGCTCCTGTCCCTTAATGGACCAGCGGGGGGGAGGTTTGCAGATCCTGGAGGCATCATTGTCTCCCTCCAATGGCAGACTGACCTGTGCGGCCCACAGCAGCCCGGGCAGGGCGGCATACAGCCACAGCGACGAGACACCGCTCATTGTCCTTCTGGACTGAAGACGAGAAAAGCACGAGGTATTAACTGTTATTTTGACCAAAAGCGACTTTGTACACTGTAATACAGGTGCTACATTCAGCCCTTTGAGGGGAGACACTGTGAACCAGAATAAAAAACAATGAACTTAAAGGTCACCTATGCAAAATCCACTTTTTCACGTCTTTTATACATCAACATGTGTCCCCTCTGTGTAAAGAGATTCAGAAAGTTTCAGGAAAAAAGATTCACTCTTTTTGTCCT